TTACTCCAAAAAGAAAATATTTACAGAATGGTAATCCAGAATCAGCACTTTTCTGGAGACAATGTAACAACTCAAAGGCTGCTGATTATTTTCATATATTCTGGAAATGTCCAGCAATCCATTTTTATTGGTTAATGGTAGTCACTGAAATAAAATCAATAGGGTTTTGAGATTGATCATAGCTTTGGTACTATATATTTAGCAAACATACCAACTGATGTTAATGCTCAAGACAAGTACCTCCTCAGATTGCTTTGGTTGTTAGTAAAAAAGCAATAATGCATTTTATAAGAACTGGTCGAAATGGTTAATATACAAATAGACAATACATAAGTAGGTATGAAGTGCTTTGCATTGAATGTGGCCCTCCCCCTCCTTTCCCCCGTTTTCACCGATTTTTTTCTTTCTTTTTCTTTTCTCTTTTCTGTATACAGAGCTATGTTATAAATAAAAAAATGTGTAGGGGTTTCCTTGTTTTTTGTTTTTGTTTTTGTTTTTTGTAGTAGAAGTAGATTGGACTAATTTGATATTTTATGCTTTAGGCCGTTTTTACCCATGATTCCAGTTTCATCATCTGATTTGGTTCTGTGTAAACAGAGGAAACCCTGAGGCTGAATATCACAGCATTCATTCACTGACACAAATACTACTGTACAGAGTATCAGTGTGTGCGCGTGTGTGTGTGTGTGTGTGTGTGTGTGTGTGTGTGTGTGAGAGAGACACATTACTATTATTGCACAAACACAAGCCATTATGACATTATAAACATAAGAGTATATACTGTTAGAAGCACTGATTTTTTAAGAGAAAAATTCTTTAGAGTTTTTTTTATATTTACATTTTATTTATTTTACATATTTTTATTTGTTTATTCATTTTTTTTTTATCTTGATTTGACACAATTTGCCCTGGAAATAGTTTTGAATGTTGTATTTTCACTTAATCTGTTACTTTTCATTTATTACATACAATTTATTTCATAATGTTAGTTTTTTATGCCAAATACTGTTACTTTAAGACTTCGATTTTTATATATTTGTTTAAACTTACACTAAAAAATGCTGGGTTAAATACAACCCAGTGCTGGGTAAAATAGGGACAAACCCAGTAATTGTAAATGTTTAACCCAACCGCTGGGTCAAAACAACCCAATAGCTGGGTTTGTCCCTATTTTACCCAGCACTGGGTTGTATTTAACCCAGCATTTTTTAGAGTGTACAGTTCATAGTTGATCTTTTACAGACATTCTAAGCTTTATTGTCTTTGTATCATTTAGAGTGATGCCAATAAAAGTGTTTTGAACTGAATAACCGTGTGATTGAGTCATGTTTAGACAGCAGCTATTGTCTGTTTTGTGAATATCATCCCTGTCTTCAGTTCACTCCGATGGCAACATCAGTGAAACTTCACCTTATAGTGGATTATGATGTGTTTATTTCCATACAAACACCAGTCTCACACTGCCACTATTCTGCTGATTATCCTTAATTTAAGTCTGTGTGTCATTTGTGTAGAGTTTTGACTCTTATGGCCACTGTTAGATGCTGTTTTGATCCCTAAACGACCCACAATGCTCTTCTCTGGTGCTTAGAGGAAAGACCTTTGCAAATTAAGATTGGTTTTGTCTCCAGTGACCTGAAAAGGAGCCCTTAAGACCTTTCTTTTGGAGGGTCTTCCCTTCATACAGAGACAGAAATACACTTCCACTTGAGCAGAGACACTTACAGACACTTGAAATCCCAAAACGGTTTATGTGGCAGAATTGAAGATTTAGAGGTTTCACGAAGAGCCAATAAGCGCCTAGAGTAGATTTAATCTCAAATTCTCTTCTTTCTTTTTTTAAATTCTTTTTGGTTGTATAACATCTCTTCTTCAAGACGAAGCAAATGCTGTAGGAGTTGAGCTGAATCTATCTTGTGTTAAGTCTTACTGCACCGTATAAAGTGTGGCATATGACAATACAAACCTGTTCCGACGCGTCTTGAGGGTGAACTCTTAAAATAAGATTTTAAAATATGAAGTACCAAAGTAGCTCAAAGTATTAGAAAATTCAATTAGTACATTTATTTATTTAATTCTGAGTATAGGACTTTGGTTCTCCTCAGAAAACGAATGGATCTTGTTTTAGTTGCATATTATTTTTTATTTATAGTCCTATATATTTATATTTATATTTTTACTGTGTTCTTTTACGGTTTGTATTTGAAGATAAAAGGCCCTGTTGCATTTAAGACCTAAATTCCTAAATGCAACAGGATTTTTGCGTGTTGTTTTGCGCTTAACGGCCGTATTTTTATTTATTTATTTATTTTATTTTATTTTATTTATTCATTTATTGTTTTGACGAGGTAACATAGATGACTTGACATGTTTCTTCCTTTGATGGTCAGCTGTTAAATAAATACGCATATTAGGCTAAGTTTAAACCGGGCCTTTTTACTAGTAAAATTGAGCGAAAATAAACAAATAAACAAACAATCATTTGGCTCTAAATTAGAAGATTCGTAAAAAAATGTATAATTATTATTATTTTTTTTTTTTAAGCTATTGACGTGGTAAACTGATGAATTTCCATGTTTCTTCAGCCTACTTTTGTTTCAAAATAATGTAAAATAAATGCATAAATAAATACATAGATAAATACACACTGGGCCTTGATTGAATTTGAACAGGGAAAAAAAAATGTCAGTAAAAAAAGTGGGGAAAAAAGATCTTATCGGCTACCAAAACCTCATTCGGCTCTAAATCATAACATTCGTAAAACAGATTATTAATTTTTAATTATTCGTTTAATTTTTTTGACGTGGTAAAGGTGATGAATAAACAAGTTTCTTCCTCTGATGTCCAGCTGTTACATTTATTAACTTCCTTTGCTTCAGATTAATGTAAAATAAATAAATCAATACATAAATAAATACTTAATACATAAATTGTGACACGCCAAAACCTGGTTTTAACACTTTACAATAAGGATCATTAGTTAACATTAGTTAACTACTTTAGTTAACATGAACTAAGCATGAACAATACTTCTACAGCATTTATTAATCTTAGCTAATGTTGATTTCAACATTTACTAATGCGTTATTAAAATCAAATGTTGTGCTTGTTGACATTAGTTAATGCACTGTGACTTAACATGAACTAACAATGTAGCTTACGACTGTATTTTCATTAACTCACATTAACAAGGATTAATAAATACAGTAATAAATGTATTGTTTATTATTTGTGCATGTTAGTTAATACATTAAATAATGGAACCTTCTTGTAAAGTATTACCACTACTTTTATAACTAGCAATGGCTTTATTTATTTTTTAATGTATTTGTAATATTCGAGTCTCTATATGTAAATAAAGTGCAGGACATGTTTTAGAGAGTAAGAGAGCTGTGAATTGAGCATCTTTGTCCGTGAGTCCCTCCAGTGTTCGAACTATACCGTGGTCTTTGGGGGAGCCCACTTGTTTTTTTTTTATATATAACGGGTCACCCTCAGTCCCTCCCTCTGAACGTCTGTCCGAGCACATTAATGTCGCTCCTGCTCCTCTGAAGGTGTCTGGAGGTTTTTTTGGACTTCATATTGTCTGTGCCTCAATGACAGTTCCACTTCTGCTCGATCAACGACGCGTGGAGCTGAAGTTTCAGGAACATCTGGACAGTAAGTTTAGCATTATTTCTATTGGAAATGGGTCAGAATGACGCAGGTGAACCGATTTAGCTGAATGTTTGCGTAAATGCAAACGTCTCAACTTATTAGTATTACGTGAAAACATTGCATTAGTTGGTGATATTATAGTTTCGTCATTTGTCTGGATTGGCTCGATGGCGCTGTACGTATACGCAATTTCTGATTTAAATGGTTTAATTGGTGGCACTTTAAAGTAATCGTTATCAAATCTCATGGAACTATATATGCATGAATTACTAGCCTATCAGTGACGTAATAATTACAATTATTATTGCATAATGTGTTGTACGACGAAAATATTCCAGCATTAGGTTACATTTAACATCTCTAGCATGCATAACAAATGCATAATAAAGCATGCACGTAAATGTATTTAAAGTAATATGTATGCGTGAAGCTAAATGCATTAAAACCCTCGAGCTGGTGAGTTTTTGTTAACAAAAAAAAAAGCGGATTTGTGTTGCATGGCTAGAAATGACGCGTTTGCATTCATACAGAAATATTCCAATACTTTATTTCTTTGTTCTGAACTGAAGTTCAGGCATATATACAAGAAAAAAAAGACAAACTAGTACAAATCTGCACAATAAATTACTATGACAACTAAAGGTGCAGAACTATAAATCACATAAAATGGCAATAAACAGCTCTAGAAATCACATTTCTGATTTGCACAGAGAGTTAAAATAATGGCTTCAGAATGGCATAATAGCAAATGAATGTTCAGGGATGTTTTTTTTTTTTTTAAAGCATTAATGATCTGTCTTTGGTGCTGAATCACCTTCTCGCGTAAAAACTGTATTAAAATACTGTTATGTGTGTAAACAAAACCTCGTGTCGTCACAGAACAGTATTTTATGTGACAGTATATATACATATATAAACTGATCCCACACAGTTAATTTAAACCAGTGCTTTAATTCAGTAGCTTAGCATTACTATAGTAAGTCATTGCATGACCTCTCTGAACACATCAGGCCCACACTAACCGACAGGCAAATTCATAAAACATTGCATATACATTTTTATTTGACCATATTTCAGGTTTACACAGCTAATAATAATAATGTTTCATTGTCAGAACGCACACCTGAGACAGTCCGAGCGCTCAACCCTGATTTAAGATATTAAGGCGCATTCACAGTTTGAGACATAAATAAAAAAGGAATTAGTCATACTAAACGAATAATATGTGCCAAACATCTAATAATAACAACGGTATCCCACAGTAACAAGGGATAAAAAAGACATTTCGAATAAATACAAAACCATCATTCACAAAGAAATAATAGAAATAATGCTTTTTTTTAAAAGAAAGAAAAACAAACACATACGGTTATTGCCTTTGGCATAACATCATACTACTATTACAAAATAATCTTAAATAGACGAGAAAAAAAATCGCACAGTCCTCACACAAAAGGAAAGCTTGCACGTTTCGGTTTTCTAGGAAAGTTTGGATGTTCCCATTGGAAAGGACGCGCAAAGCTCAGCTTAGAAACGAATTGGGCGCGAGGCGTTTGTGTTGAGACAGAAGTCCGCTAGAAAGTGGTGCTGTGAAGGACGGCAAACTAGTTCTTAGGGAATCCGACAGCAGAGGGGACGGAGAGCTGGAGATGCCGTATCCCGGCGCGCTCGGAAGCGGCTGCGGCTGCTGCGCGCCCGGTACGAAGTATCCACTGTGCCCTGAAAGTAATCCGGCGGCGGACGACGGAGACACGCCGTACCCGTTGATACTCCCGCTAGAGGCTCCCAGAATGGAGCGAGACATATCCCCGTTCCCGAGCGGCTCGACGCCCGGGAGAAACGATCCGTACGCGTGTCCTTGGTTTAGAAATCCGTGCGTGGAGCCGTTGTAGTGCGAGTGGTGGATGGGTAAAAACGGAGACAGCTGCCAGTAGAGCGGGTTGCTCGGGCGTTCGCCCAGTCCGAGTCCGAGGGGCGCGAAGCGGAGGCCCCTTTTCATCACCAGCTTGCCCCGCGAGGTCGCCGAGCGCCGGCGGAGCTTCCCGGTGGTTCCGCCGATAAACACATCTTCGCTGGAGGGATCCAACATCCAGTAGTTCCCTTTCCCAGGATCATCATAATGCCGCGGGACCTTCACGAAGCACTTATTGAGGCTCAAATTGTGCCGGATGGAGTTCTGCCAGCCCTGCTTGTGCTCCCGGTAATACGGGAAGTTCTTCATGATGAACTCGTAGATGCCGTTGAGCGTGAGCCGCTTCTCGGGACTCTGTCTGATGGCCATCATGATGAGCGCGTTGTAGCTGAACGGAGGCTTGTCGAATTTCTTTACCTTTTTAGACAGCTGCTCCTCCGCGTCTCGCTGCGCGGGGTCCATCTCGGACGCTTCCGGGGGTTTGTCTAAGTCCTGTACGGGTGCCGGGCTGCCGCTGCGCTCCGCGCCCTCATCGTCAAACTTCGATGGGAGTAACAGGCTCTTGATGCTGAACGATGTCGACTTCTGTACCATGGTCGGCTCAGTCTGATCTCCCATGCCGGGTGATGAACAAACAAAATACGTAGTTTAAAACGCAGGAGGTCAGGCGCGCAACGGCGGGGACGTTGCATGCATGACAGGACTTTTAAGACGGAGGACGCGACGCGCGGACTCGAGAAATTAGTGATTAACCAGCGCTCGGTCTTACCAACTACCTCATCGCAGGGGAGGGAGGAGGAGCTCTTCTCTTGCTGGAAGCTGGACAGTATAGTCTCGGCTCACTCCATCATAATGCTCGGAGAGCCCTGTGCGTGCTGGAGTCTGGAGAGTCTCCTGTGCGTCACCGATCACGTAGCCTGAATAGGAGGGACAAATAATTGCTCACACATTACCTGAAACGCTCTTAAATAAAGTTTAAATTATCCAAATTTAAAGTTTTTAGTGATTCTGAGTCGGACAGTTTTGCTGAAGGCACTCTTAATAATACTTCGAAGGGATTCGAATTAGGGTTTTAAATAATATGGCCCTAAAACATAGATAGTATCCTGTCTGATACAATACAATGTTGTGTATTATGACCAGTCCAGACCTATTGATTAGCAGGCTTTCCAAAAATAATAATGAATAATGCTCTCATTTACGCAGAAATTGACTTTGGCGTGCATATGATACGCAGGTGTTTGACTTGCATATGAAACGCAGTTTTGGCGTACATATGATACGCATCTACCCCACACCCCTAATCCTACCCATTAAATATCATATGCACGCAAAAGTCAATTCACACACACACACACACACACACACACTGTGTGTGTGTTTGTTTTCGTCCATGTATAGCTGGCCTCAAGGCTTCATTTGAAACTGCTTGCCAAAACATTTAATGCCAAACCCACAGCAAACACACACAGGAGCACTTGAAAATGACATGCAAGGTTCAATAAAAGGTCACACTACACTTAAAGCACAGTGATGATGGGGTGAAGGGCCTCTACGGGCCTGTCCTGGATTTGAGTGGTTTATACTGTGGTGAAGCAGCATCCACCAACAGGAGCTTCATGCTAATGATTGTACAAAACACACTGACATCTCTGACCTGAGACTAACCTTAAGTTTAAACTGGCATGTGTTTCGCTTTTGTTGTGTGTTTTTTTTTTTTTGGCTCCTGCTCTTTAGTTTCCTTCTTATAGACACCAGACTGAACCTGCTTCATGTGAAATATAAATTAGGCTACGCTGCTTATAATGCATGTTTAATACACAGTGGGTTTGTTTTTTGAAAGCTAAATTCCGTATGGTCACAAAACGTAAAGATGTGGCTTTTGACCATTTTATTTTACATTTAACATTCGTGTTGTTTACTCTGATCTCGGGTTAGTTTGATAATGTAGAGGTTTTAATGTAATAAAAACTATACATAAAAACTGTACATAAAAATTTTGTCTATTTCTGTTTATATATATATGTATATGTGTGTGTGTGTGTGTGTGTGTGTTGTTCCATAAAATGCACAAAACAAGAATAAAATAACAGAACATATACTAACACATAATAACAGGCTATATTATACCTTTAATGGTATTTGATGATTTGTAGATTGCATTTTCACCTTTTTGCTCGTGCTGCTTTTCGCTTTCTACTTCACTAAAGAATGAACTTGCTACGTTAAATTTAAATTACGGAACTAAAAGGACGCCACGTATTTTTTTTTTTCACTATACATTGAATATTAACAAGGTGGGTTTATTTTTGAAAGCCAATTTCAGTATAGACATAAAACATAAAGATGTGGCTATAAAACTAATGAACATTTCATTTTCCAGAAAACGTTTGTGATTGGTTTCTAAAAGGTGTTTTATTCATATTTGGGCTGATTTTTCTTTTCATTTACACCGCTTTGACCAGCAGGGGTCGAGTTTTAAGTGAATCATTTTGCAAATCAATTTGATTCGGAGCTTCAAAAATCCTTGTTTCTCCCATCACTAAAAGTAACTGTTTAAACTGTTGCTAGCCTGTTTAATTATAGGTTGTTTAATTACTTTTTAACCAGATTAAACAGAAACACAAAGCATTTTATGAATCAGCAAATATCGTAATTTGGGCGTGAGTTTGATTTTCTTTCTGTTTTAAAGATGTTTTCTTTGGATTGTTTGACTACTCAAAAGAGAATATCACTCTCAGAAAAAAGGTACAAAAGTTGTCACTGGGACGGGACCCTTTCAAAAGGTACAAATTTGTACCTTTTTTCCCCCAAAAGGGTGCATTTTAGTACCTTAAAGTTACATATTTGTACCTAAAGTGTACATATTCATAACTAAATGGTACATATTAGAACACTTTGAAAGGGTACTGTCCCAGTGACAGCTTTTGTACCTTTTTTTTCTGAGAGTGTGGGAAAATATAACTTAATTAATTTGTTTCCTGCTAGCTAAATTTCACAAACATAAACAAAAATCTGGCTCTAAACCTCTCTTTTCTTTATTCAAAGTTGATCTAGATGAGTACCTGGAAACTATCCGAAGTTCTGTTCATCCTAAAGCAGTGAAAACTGCATCTCTGTATTCATCCTGTGTGTCCTAATATTTTGGTTACCAACATTCTTCAAAATTTCTCTCATAGAAGAGAGAAAGTCATACAGGTTTGTTACAACATAAGGGTGTGTAAATGACAATTTAATAGCAGTAAATTTATTTTATTGCATCCTAGCTCAAAATCAGTGCTTCACTGTCAACTGCATTTCTATGTGACAAAATGCAATATTAAGTCTGTTCACTGTATTTGCAGTACACTCAATAATATCTATCATTGTTTCTATCCTTTTTTATTTATTTATTTACTCAATTTTAAGGCCCCTGTCACGATTCCCTACTGTGAGGAGCACGGAGCGAGGAATGAGGAGAAGTGGAGTAGACTTCAAACAAACAGACTTTAAAAATCAATGGAACCAGGAACACACATGTAGCGGGGAAAGGCGAACATTCAATACCAGACAACCAAACTCTCAACAGGAAACACTTTAAATACACATGACATGATGAGGGGATGACGAGACACACCTGGGAGCAATAACCAATTAAACACATGGGAAAACTAGGTCAGGGCAGTCACATGGAGGGAAAAACACACAGAAAGAGTCCAGGGGCGTGACATATCACCCCCCTCCCGGAAGGCGCGTCCTCGCGCCGTAGAACAACAGATGGTGGGAACTTGGGAGGAGGCTTGGGAGGAGGACGATGAACAGAGTCCATGGGGGTGACGAAGGAGGGAGGAGACAGGAGGGGCTTGGAGCAGGAGGAGCCAAGCAGGACCCAGGCCACAGCCATGACAGCGAACCACGGTGGAGCTGACGGAGGGAGGAGCCATGGAGGAGGAAGGGCTGACAACTCCAAGGGGCTGACCAACGGTGGCGGAGGAGCCCGAGGCAGAGACGGAGAGCCGATAAACCAGGGCGACGGGGAGGATCCGGTGGTCCAAGGTGGAGCAGATGGCGCCGGTGACCGAGGTGGAGGCGGGAATCCAGATGGCCGCGGTGGAGCTGGAGTGACAGAGGACTGAGGAGGAGCCGAAGGGATGGAGGAGCCTGATGGAGATGGAGGAACGAGGCACAGCCACAGGAGTGGAGTTCCGAGGCGCAGGATGGTCGACGACAGACCAAGGCGGAGCTGGAGGGACGAGGGAGCCCGGTGGAGCCAGTGGACAGATGGGCCACGACGGAGAGGAGGGAGCTAGGAGCCATGGTGGAGCCACTGGATCAACGGGCCGAGGCAGAGTCTGGGTCTCAGAGGCTGGAGGCGGAGACTAGGGATTCTGCAGCCACTGTGACGATGAAGGATGGCAGACCCGCGGAGCTCGCACCGTATAGATGGTGGGCTGAGGGCGAGCAGAGGGGCTGACAGACGACAGCGGTGGAGGAGGCAGGAGAGGGTGGGTGGGCAGGCATTTGTGAGCCTCCGGGCTTAACTTGGGACCAGGAGCCCTCTCAGGGCTGGACGTGCGAACAGGAGCCTTCTCTGGGGTATACTCAGGAACGGGAGGGACAGAGTTCACCGACAGAGGAGGAAGAAAAGGGGGCAGGTCGATAAACAAGTCAATTAAGTTTTCCTCCGCTTTGCATTCTCCCAAATCCTTACTCAGCTCACCGTCAGCCACGGTGCAGGGGGCGGAGCTCCACTCCGCGCTCTCTCTGTCCGTGGCATTCTCCCTCGTGGCGGGCTCTGTTGCCAGCTCTCGCACCTTGACTGACGTCATTTGCAGCGCCGGCTCCGCAGCGATCCGTTGCTCTGTCGTTTCGTGCGGCAGCAGCTCGTCAGCCGTGGCGAGCTCAGGCTCTCCGTCAATGGTGGGATCGGGCTGATGCTCCGCGCAGCGGGGAGATGGTGGGCTGGGCACTGGGTCGGGAGTGGAACTGGCGAGATTCTCTTAGGAACAGACAGGAAATGGAGATCCGTTTCTCGCCAGTGTCCACTCCACAAAGGCGGTGAAATTCGCTCGAGGACCATCCTCGGACGACAGCGCTCTGCACGCGATGTTCAAACTGGCATCGTAGAATGCACAGAGCGCATCGTCCGGGTAGCTGGTAAGACTCGTGAGGACCAGGAACAGTCTGGTATGGCCCTCGAGCGATCGCTCCCCCTGCTCCAGCAGGAGGAGGAGGTATTCTGGGCGGGCGAGGGGATCCATAGGGAACAACAGAAACAAAAAACACTGAGTAAAACGCATAAACAAAAACGGAGGGAAACACGCAGTTAAACTGTTTATTGGTCCATGGCTCCTCAGTTTCCTGTTCAGAGTTTGGTTGTCTGGTACCGTCCATCGGTATTCTGTCACGATTCGCTGCTGTGAGGAGCACGGAGCGAGGAACGAGGAGACGTGGAGTAGACTTCAAACAAACAGACTTTAATTAACATCAATGGAATCAGGAACACACACGTAGCGGGGAAAGACGAACATTCAATACCAGACAACACTGAACAGGAAACACTTTAAATACACATGACATGACGAGGGGATGACAAAACACAGCTGAGCGCAATAACCAATTAAACACATGGGAAAACTAGGTCAGGGCAGGCACATGGAGAGGGAAAAACACACAGAAAGAGTCCAGGGGCGTGACAGCCCCAACCCCAGCAAAAACATTCACGTCACTACTAATTTCTAAGCCCTTGGTAATTTAAGATTTGTTTGAATTACAGTGTTCAAAACATGTGACAGTTTACCTTGATTTGATTGTTTTAGTAAAATTCAGACAGACCTCAACAATGGCAGTAATTAACAAATACATAATGAGGCATAAAAACCCGCTAAACATCAATGACACACAGGCCTAACAAACAGTAATAACAGAATCAACAGCAATAGCGTGAATAAACCTTGTAAACAATGACTTCATAATTTATTCATGGTGCAGTGCATGCTGGGAATTCACAAACCCTCAACAATCAGAAACATTGTTCAATATAAAGCTCTTTGTTCAGATCTGATAATTTGGGAGAATATTGTTGGTCTAATTCACATCTCTTTGTAACTCAAGTACACTGAATTATTGAATGGAATTTTAGGGTCTTCTACTGTACAACAGTTTGTACTCATTTCCTCTCTCTCTCTCTCTCTCTCTCGCTCTCTGTTAGTTAGAACCAGGCAAATACTGCCTATATGTGTTTAACCATGTGAGCGAAAGGGAAAAACAGAAAAACTGTGTAAGAATAAGAATACTTGTAGCATTTTTTAAAGTTTCCGTCCATCGTTTGGTAGAAGTTCCAAATTTAACAAATGCCTCTTTTAGCACTTGGAATGAAGCGGCATCTGAAAAGTCAAATCTTAAAACTTTACATATGTTCTGGTTTAAATGAGACAAGAAATATCATGACTCACAGCTTAAATGATCAGTATTAGTGTATTCAATGACAACGATGTGCAATATAATAGTAAGTCCTTTATATAGGCCTGGTTAATGAAATTAGGAATAAATTGTGTATTAATATATGAACTTTATCATCAACATCAAGATATTAATTTAAATATTTGAAAGGTTTTTTAGTGTGACTTAAGTGTCTAAATACTTTTTTTTTTGGTGCAGCTGTATCTTATATAATAGCAAAACGTTGCCAAATCAGACTGTCCTGATGGAGTTTGATGCTCAGCACCCCTCAAAAAAACCTGCGAGGCACTTTAGCAGCGGATTTTATAAAGCCCTTTAAATCACAGAGAGATTCAACCAAAAACAATTCGAGAGACAAAACAAGAAACAGTCACAAACAATGACATAAATCCATTAATATCATCACAGTTTCTTTATTTACACAAGCACAATTAGCCATAATGTGTGAGAGAGTTTATTTAACTGTGATTTGAGGACAAAATTGTCCCTTGAATTTGGCTAAATCTGATTAAAATTATTCATTCATACAACAAATAATTTTTTTTATTCTAAAAATGTTTATTCTTTAATGGTTTAGTATATGGATTAGTCTGTTGTCATTATAAATAGCTTTATATGAAAACAATAGATCTATATATGCACTGATTCAGACAGTGTGTGTGTGTGTGTGTGTGTGTGTGTGTGTGTGTGTGTGTGTGTGTGTGTGTGTATGTGCCGTACTGTTGTCAGTCTGAGCTCTAGGATTATGGGTTTTCTCTGTTGGGCATTACTGGCTCAGAACAAATCAACAAATGATGTGTGTGTGTGTGTGTGTGTATACAGTTACTCCTCACTC